AGATATTGCTATGAGGGTGTGGGTGTATATCTCCATCGATACCCACACCCACACCCTAAATCCAACAATGTTTCGCAATAAACCTAACATGAATCGACTAGAACGCAAAGAAAAGATGATGATTTACTAGAAAATTAAGTGAAAACATGGGAGCGGCTAGCCGTGAGTGGCGCCCCGAAGGCACGCCAACGAATGACTAGCCGTTAATCTGGTAGGTTCACCGAAGACACGCTTTAAGCCGGTGGAATTCATATAAAATTGCTCACCGATCGAGACTCATCGGTTGAAAGTATCCAAAAGCTGCGAAAAACTCACGGTAGTAATATGAATTTTCATCCCCAATAAGCACACAGTCATAAGAAGTTACGAACCAAGAATAGCGACGACGACAAACAAGAAGTTGAGTTTGTAGCTTCAGACGGAAGATCTTGCAAGAAAATGTAAATGAAATGTAAGTTACTGTGTGCGATGATAAGGAACATTAACGATTTCTCAAAAAACATGCAGCCAAAGGCTCACAAGAGAATGAAGCATCGTTTTAAATCATATCCGTATCATATACAAAATCGAGCGGTCATCAGTGGCGGTCCGTATGGACGCCGACGACTGACTACGAGCTGTTTCTTACGGTTCACTTTGAAAAATCTCAAGAGAAAATTGAGAAGCCGGATCTTTTTACAAAGTGATCCTCATCGACAATAGTATACAGGTTTCTGTATATGCATATGTATTCACCAATAGTTTTCAAAAAAGAATCCAGGAGGTAATGGCAGATAATGATTAGATTAAGTTCAGTCGAGGGTCAAGCGAATCATAACGACCAAGGCTCTCGATTGTTTTTGAGAGTGGGGGGGGGGGGGTAGCTTTGGAAAGATTCCCCTATCCCCCTTCAGGGATGAGCCAAATCTCCGAAGAAGTTCCGTACACAAAAACACAATCGGGGCCAAGGAGGGGGGTGGGGTAGCTTGCGAAGATCCCCCGAACAGCGTCTATTTAAAAATTTTCCAGACCATATTCAAAATTTCGCAGACACGTAACAGCAAAATTTTGGCAGACACTCTGACAAAGTGGGGGGGACTAGCCCCCCCCCCCCCCCCCCCCCCCACATCGAGAGCCTTGATAACGACGAGCATTCCTTGTTGATTATGTGCAAAACTCAAAATCTAAACCATTTATCAACTCTTCAATGAAATATTCCTCATAACTCCATTTTAGCAATAGAAATAGACCATAAAGCAAAACAATTCTAATCAGCCAGCTACATTACTTGTTCAAAGATATTCAATTCTTCTAAATTCCACTTTTCCACCATCATAACAGACTACTATATAAAACCCTTTTTTATTATATCAGCTTTTTCTCACTACTTTATTTTTCTCATGGCTTTAATCGATATCTAATCGCCTTTATAAATGAATATATAATCGAACGAGAATGACATTTTTATACTTGTCATTGTCCTCAAATTTATGTTTTACATTGGCATACATAGTTCTGTTCATCTACTATTCCCATTTCTCAACAAAAAGTTGAGTATTGATCAGATAATCGAAGATCATATTCCATATGAATATTTCTCACCATAGTTCTATTCATTTATTGTTCTTACTTCTTAACAAAAAGTTAAGTGTTGACCAGATGGTCGAAGATCACATTCGAAATGAATACTTCTCACCATAGTTCTGTTCATTTATTGTTCTCTCTTCTCAACAAAAAGTTGAGTGTGGATTAGATGATCGAAGATCATATTCCAAATGAATATTTCTCATAATATTTCTGTTCATCTATTATTCTCATTTCTCAACAAAAAGTTGAGTGTTGATTAGATGATCGAAAATCACATTCTAGATGAATATTTTCCAAGATTTTATATGAACCAGCACGTCATATAGCGCTAGCTACCTTCATATTTTACGTCCTTTAAAATGGTGCAATGGAATATACCATGGTAATATGGTTTGCTCTGAATTTGAATGAAAAAATCCATTTCTAAAAATTTTTTAGCATTTTTCTCAGAATATGGTTTCTCAGCAGGAAAATTGGAATCAATTCATCCCGGCCTTAGGTACTATTCAATATTTTTTTTTTGTTTTAAAGCTCCGAATCAGGGCTAACTTTTCATCAGACGGATTTTTGATACATTTCTCCTGGGCTGAGAAAAGTGGAATTTACTGTCGTTCGAGTGACGTGTTTTTCAGACCTGCCTAGTAAAATGGTCATAAAAAATGAATGGAAAGGAGTTTCAAAAATCCGTCTGATGAAAAGTTGCGCACAGAGACTAGCTTTAATTTGACACCAACCCGAGCTCTCTAGCCTTTACTACGGCTGAGTGATTCTCATTCTCCTGGGAGTATGAAAACAGGCCGTAAGTTCGATATACTCCGGTGTATCGAGCTGAAATTTTTATCACAAGCGTATCTCACCAGGACTAGTTGTTCCTGGAAGTTTCAGCCCAAATGGTCCCTTCTAGATGAGAAATCGTTTCTGAGGGGGGGTCCCCTTAACAAGAAGTTGAATGTTGATCAAATGATCGAAGATCACATTCCAAATGAATATTTCTCACCATAGTTCTGTTCATTTCTTGTTCTCTCTTCTCGACAAAAAGTTGAGTGTTAATCAAATGATCGAAGATCATATTCCAAATGAATATTTCTCAAGATAGTTTCATTCATCCATTATTCTCACTTCTCAACAAGAAGTTGAATGTTGATCAGATGATCGAAGATCATATTCCACATAAATATTTCTCATCATAGTTCTGTTCATCTATTATTCTCACTTCTCAACAAAAAGTTAAATGTTGATCAGATAATCGAAGATCACATTCGAAATGAATATTTCTCACCATAGCTCTGTTCATTTATTGTTCTCTCTTCTCAACAAAAAGTTAAGTGCTGATCCGACGATCAAAGATCACATTTCAAATGAATATTTCTCAAGATAGTTCTGTTCATCTATTATTCTCACCTCTCAACAAAAAGTTAAGTGTTGATCAGGTGATCGAAGATCATATTCCAAATGAATATTTCTCAATATTACGATAGTTCTGTTCATCTATTATTCTCATTTCTCAACAAAAAGTTGAATGTTGGTCAGATGATCGAAGATAACATTCCAAATGAATATTTCTCATCATGATTCGGTTCATCTATTATTCTCACTTCTCAACAAAAAGTTGAGTGTTGATCATCTGATCGAAGATCACATTCGAAATGAATATTTCTCATAATAGCTCTATTCATCTATTATTTTCACTTCTCAACAAAAAGTTGAATGTTGATCAGATGATCGAAGATCATATTTCAAATGAATATTTCTCACCATAATTCTGTCCATTTATTATTCTCACTTCTCATCAAAAAGTTGTGTGTCGATCAGATGATCGAAGATCACATTCCAAATAAATATTTCTCATCATGAAGATAGTTCTGTTTATTTATTGTTCTCACTTCTTAACAAAAAGTTGAGCGTTGATTAGATAATCAAAGATCACATTCCAAATGAATGTTTCTCATAATAGTTCTGTCCATCTATTGTTGTCATTTCCTAACAAAAACTTGAATGTTGATTAAATGATCGAAGATAACATTCGAAATGAATATTTCTCATAATAGTTCTATTCATCTATTGTTGTCATTTCTTAACAAAAACTTGGGTATTAATTAGACGGTCGAAGATCACATTTCAAGTGAATATTTCTCATCATAGTTCTGTTCATCTATTATTCTCACTTCTCAACAAAAAGTTGTGTGTCGATCATCTGATCGAAGATCAAATACCAAATGAATATTTCTCACCACGATGAACATAATAATCATGATAGTTCTGTTCATTTATTGTTCTCACTTTTCAACAAAACTTGAATGTTGATCAGATGATTGAAAATCGTAAACGAAAGGAAAAAGCTAAAGTGCATGAAGAAAAAGTATGTTTATCTATTTTGTTCACTTTAAAATGAATCTTCTATCGATATGAATGATTCGAAGATTACAAAGTATAAACATAATTTTGACCATTATTTTGTATGAAAACTTTGTTCAATTTGATATAAGAATTGTGTATTTTGAAATTTAATAAAGGTCATATGACTAATGAACAGTTTTCATCATTGTTTTGTTTATGTATTTGAAGGATTTTTATATAAAAATAGCAATGTAATAATAAGTTAATTAAAGATTTCATTGAAAATGAACAAATATAACGAGAGTTTTATTCATATAGTTTAGCCGTTTTTAATTTCTAATTTCGAACTTGTAAGATGATCATAGATTAAAAGATAAATGTATAATCACAACGCAAAATCCATTCATTTATTCCATACTCATTAATAACAAAGTTTTGATTTGATAGATCAACTGAAGATTTTATGAGAAATGAAGAGTGACTTTCCATTGCCCACCATCATAATTCTATTCATCTATTTTCTTCACTTCAGACAAAGAAATTGATGAGTTAATCAGCTGAGTAAAGATCACATAAAAAATAAATATTTCTCACGAAAGTTTCATTCATTTGTTTTATTTTTTTTCAAAATAAAAACTATCTAAATGATAGATTGATGAAAGATTATATGACAAATGAACAAATATCTTCCAATTGTTTTATTTATCTATATATTCATGTGAAAATAAAAGTTTTCATTTTATGAAATAATTGATGATGACATAGAAAATGATTAATTCTAATCAACATTATATTCATTTAAGTTATGTATTATGGAAGAAGTTTTTGAATTAATCATTTTATCGACAATAACATGTCAAATGAATAATCATAACTGCATTTCCCATGATTTTAATCTTTTATTTCGATGATTTTAAATCGAATTTATTGATGTCAGTTAGATGATCGGCACTAACATGATCAATGAATAATTATAACATTTGAGACAAACATTTTCGTTACTTATGTTGTTCACTTCAAAACAAAGATTGAAAAACTGTCAACTGATCAAAACATTGCATGACCAATGTATAGTTCTTAGGACGACCTTTAATATTCTAATCAATAATTTCGTTTCTTTCGAAACAAAAGTTTTGTGTTGAAGAGTTAATCCAAGAGGACATAGCACATGAATGATCAAAACATGAAAGTGGTTTGGGGCATGTGAATTCGAGAAATTGCAGACGTTCTAAACGAAAACAACGACATTCTTTAAAAATTATCTGAACAAAGAACAACTTGATTGATACTGGACAAAGATAACAAAGAAGGAAAGTTCCTAGAATATAACAGAATAGAATATAAATGGTAGTCGACATAGACGATTTAATTTATAGAATTCAATGATGAATAAAAACATGAAACTGTTGAATCTTGTTAGAATAATTCGAAAATAACTAAAAAAGATGAAGTACTATTCATACCTCTGATGTGAATTTTTTAGTTTAAAAGAGAACAAATTAGTGAATTTGAAAGATTAACAAAGGAAATAATTACTTTTAACTACATAATTTGCTGATTTCATCTTAGTGTAATAAAATCAATAAAGAAACATACAAATTTTTAAGCTATTTTAATAAAATGATATTTTTTACTATCACAGCTGTTTGTTGATGTGATGATGTCAGAGAATAAACAATGGATTGTTCTCTGCTCTGAAAGATGAATAATATCTATGGAATAGGATAAATAATCGTTCTAATAGTAAAATGAAAAGAAGATATTCTTATGGTTTTTCTATTATTGTATCTGTTCATATCAGATTGTATGTCTAAACTAGAATGAATTTTACTAATTTCTATTGTATGTTCATTTCTGACAATAATTTACCAATTCTCTATTTTTTTCAATAGGGGAAAGGAGATTTCATATTGGAATGGTAAAAACCAAAGTTTCTCTATCATACTAATTTTAATTGTGGTTTGATGTAATTGTGAACAGTAGAGAACAACTGTAGTACTATCATGACTGCAGTTAATCACTTAAGACTCTATTTCTTAAGAATGCCAAAGTCGAAAAAATATGGAATTCAAGTTTTCTTTTTTCATTTTGTGCTTATTTTAAGAATCATCACACAGGTTCATATTTAATATGGATAAAAAAATGGTTAACTGGAAAGCGTTCGAGTTCTTAAAGACTTGATTTATCCAATAAGATATTTAGGATCATCTCAAAAATACAACTTTTCATTTTATCTAATATGATTCGACTATACACTAAATAATTTTAGAAAAGGCTTATTATTAGTTAAGTTGAAAGCAACATATCAATAAAATTCGAATATTCGGGAAAAATTTTTTAGATTTTTCAAAAGATGAATAATTGTCTATGTATCTCATTCGATAATATAATTGAAGAAAATATAAGCTGATAATTTATCAATCCTATGTGATGATCTTCAATTCATAATATGAATGAAATAGACGTAGAATGTGAATAAATATTCAACAGATTTCTCTTCAATTATTCGGTTTCTTCTTATTACAAAAGTTTTCCATAATGATAGCTTAACTGTGACTTCAATTGTTCATTATGGATATGAAGTACAAGAAATGGAAATATAGAAAAGTACCAATACTCAGCATTAAAAGAGTCTGTTGAGAAATAATAACATGAATAATCAATGATTACTAGAAATTTTAATTTCAAAAAGTTCAAAATCTATGATCAAAAAAGTGTAAATAATAGAATGTAAAAGGTAAACAAAGAAATGTCCATTAAATATAATATATATTAGAACTTTCACAAGACAAGATAATAATATTTATCTCGTAGAGTCATTTGTTAGATGAACTTTAATTTATATAATAAAGTTTCGAAGATTAATTATTATTTTTAATAATGTTTTTCACCTAATTTTCTATCTAGCTATTCTTATTGATACATTCAATAAATGATGTCGACTGTTTTTAATTATGACAATGAAAAGATTATTGCAAGTATTCATATAAAAGCCATATTTTAATTTCTGACATTCTCTCTTCAATCAAAATAGCTTTTATTCAAACTTTTGTAGAACTTCAAGTATTCATATATAACTTATTGCAATGTAAAAGAATTTTCTTCTATATACAGATATTTTATCATAGAATCTTAACTCTTTTTTAAGAACGATATTCATATGCACATTCAATATTACTTAAATTTCTACCATGTCAGAAAAACATAACGATGAACTTAAAAGAGTTTTTAGATTAATTTTATCTCAACAATAAGGAACATACTATTGATCTATCACCAACAGACACAAATAAAATCTGAAGTGAGCAATATGTTTTAGAATACATCTCAAGTAGTTGTTCAAGCAAAACTTATTTACAAACATAAAGAAGTATTCAAAAAAAAAACCACAGAATTTGCTAATAGATTTTAGTAATTAGAATAGACGACTATAGACGATCAAAAAAAGATGTACAATGGAACAACTATGAACTCTTTTGCAAAAATGACTAGTAATAGTATCACTTTTCATGCAAAGATAAATTTATCATTGAATCAGTGAAGCTAATTATTCCTAGAATGAGATCTTTCTTGAAACTTTAGATTTTATGATGAATCGTAAGGTTGAAAACCAAACAATGGTTTCTGTTCAATGAATTAGACTCTAGTTAATTTGCGCCATTAATCACTTAAAATATACGCATATATGCTTACTTTCTAGTTGTCCTGTCTGATTTTTCAGCTGTTGATTCTCATCCTGCAGCTGTCTAATTTGAGTTTGTTGTTGATTTACTTGACCTTTTAATTGTTGATTATCGTTTATCAATCCTCCAATTTGAGTTTGCTGTTGATTTACTTGGTTTTTCAGTTGTTGATTATTGTTTATAAGTTCAGTGATCAAAGGTCTTAATGGATTGAAAATACAGGTCTTCAAATGCTTGTCAAGTTCATCTCGTGATCCTGTCCATGGACATTTTATGTCTGATGATAGGCATTTTATATTTGTCTTGGAACACATTTTATTTTTATGATCATTGAAACTTCCTCGTACCAGTCCTGTCTGTTTACAACCTAGACATTTAACTAGTATCTCGTCAAGCATATCAATCAAAACGCTATCGGCGATGGGTGTTAAATTTTCAATACGCAGGTTTTGACGACACATTGGACATGAAGGATGATGTTTAATCCATTCTTCGATGCAATGATGACAGAATATATGGTTCCTAATATTACATTTAGTTGATACAGGATCAATGAATGGTTTAGTGCAAATTGAACATTTTAAACGTTCATTTATTGATTCTTCATTCATATATTCATATCCAGTATTGTCTTCCATTATATTTATTTCTTTTGATTTTTATCTGAAAAGAAAGTTCTTTTAACTCAAACATGGCGCCTGATTATGCACTAAATGGCCTATTCTGGATAAGAGATGCCCATTTCGATGCGGCAGCGGCACGGAGAATGTTCTAAAAAATACCATCGTGGCAGCTTGTTTTCAAAAGACATTCTAAAACTTCATGAATTTGCAAGGATTTGGATGTCTACGATTGTAACACTCAGAGACTAGATGAATAGCTTGGATTCATACTGACACTTCTACTTCAGTACGTTGATGGCAGAGATTTTCGAAAGACTTTTTGAAAACCATCACAGTAGTTAGAGTCCTGTGTGGGTTCAACTTTTCAAACCCGCGTCCGACTCGACGAAGTGTAATGTAAACATGATCCGATCCGACACGACTTGAGAAATTACATTCCTTCGTGTTCATCAAATCATCATTTTACTATAATAATTAATATGCAAAAACTCACAAGAAAACGTAAGTTCATACTAACAAATACAAATTTTTGTACCATACGCATTGTATATCATCAATGATTTTAGGAAGTGGCTATGTACACACAGCAAAGCGACTATGTGCACTGAGATAGGTATAATCAATTAATTAGTAAATATT